AATGGAGTGCTGCAACAAGACACGGCACTTATGATGTGGAGCAGTGCGTCCACAATACACTTCAAAGGCGTTTCAGACGCGACACAAGGCTACGTGTGAAGTAAAGGTTGGATGCTGTTCGTGGCTTGGCAAAAGCTCTCTCTGCATTCATGACTGAGCCCGGGATCTCATGGTGTGAATACCTACGCACCCTATTCAGCCACCTCTTTTATTGTTTATTCACAAATACCATAGTTGTAGCATTTACGGTTGAAAATCAAAACGTGTGTGCATCATCTCATATATGCATGTTACAGAGCAGTGGCCTGAAATGTCAATGGAGTGTACGAAATGGATCAAATTCCTGACCATGCACATTAGTGGAAAATTGTATACGTAAATCTGTTAAGGCCCTCAAGCAAAACAACTTAATTTGACAGCTCTGCCCAGTAGCAGTTAATGAATTGAGATCATACCAAACATAATCTAACCCAAAATAAACTGAACATGAATCAGAACAAAATGCGATGGCTAGTTGTTGCATCTACTGCCAAAGAATATTGGTCACTTGGGAGATCATACACCTAGATCAAAAAAGCATTGGGAATGTGTTAAATGGATATATGCTGGATTTCCGTATGTACAGTGAGGGAAAAAAGTATTTGATCCCCTGCTGATTTTATACGTTTGTCCACTGACAAAGAAATTATCAGTCTATAATTTTAATGGTAGGTTTATTTGAACAGTGAGAGACAGAATAACAACAACAAAATCCAGAAAAACGCATATCAAAAATGTTATAAATTGATTTGCATTTTAATGAGGGAAATAAGTATTTGACCCCCTCTCAATCAGAAAGATTTCTGGCTCCCAGGTGTCTTTTATAAGGTAACGAGCTGAGATTAGGAGCACACTCTTAAAGGGAGTGCTCCTAATCTCAGCTTGTTACCTGTATAAAAGACACCTGTCCACAGAAGCAATCAATCAATCATTCCAAACTCTCCACCATAGCCAAGACCAAAGAGCTCTCCAAGGATGTCAGGGACAAGATTGTAGACCTACAAAAGGCTGGAATGGGCTACAAGACCATTGCCAAGCAGCTTTGTGAGAAGGTAATAACAGTTGGTGCGATTATTCGCAAATAGAAGAAACACAATATAACTGTCAATCTCCCTCGGCCTGGGCTCCATGTAAGATCTCACCTCGTGGAGTTGCAATGATCATGAGAACGGTGAAGAATCAGCCCAGAACTACACGGGAGGATCTTGTCAATGATCTCAAGGCAGCTGGGACCATAGTCACCAAGAAAACAATTGGTAACACACTACGCTGTGAAGGACTGAAATCCAGCAGCGCCCGCAAGGTCCCCCTGCTCAAGAAAGCACATATACATGCCCGTCTGAAGTTTGCCAATGAACATCTGAATGATTCAGAGGACAACTGGGTGAAAGTGTTGTGGTCAGATAAGACCAAAATGGAGCTCTTTGGCATCAACTCAACTCGCCGTGTTTGGAGGAGGAATGCTGCTTATGACCCCAAGAACACCATCCCCACCGTCAAACATGGAGGTGGAAACATTATGCTTTGGGGGTGTTTTTCTGCTAAGGGGACAGGACAACTTCACCGCATCAAAGGGACGATGGACGGGGCCATGTACCGTCAAATCTTGGGTGAGAACCTCCTTCCCTCAGCCAGGGCATTGAAAATGGGTCATGGATGGGTATTCCAGCATGACAATGACCCAAAACACACGGCTAAGGCAACAAAGGAGTGGCTCAAGAAAAAGTACATTAAGGTCCTGGAGTGGCCTACCAAGTCTCCAGACCTTAATCCCATAGAAAATCTGTGGAGGGAGCTGAAGGTTCGAGTTGCCAAACGTCAGCCTCGAAACCTTAATGACTTGGAGAAGATCTGCAAAGAGGAGTGGGACAAAATCTCTCCTGAGATGTGTGCAAACCAGGTGGCCAACTACAAGAAACGTCTGACCTCTGTGATTGCCAACAAGGGTTTTGCCACCAAGTACCAAGTCATGTTTTGCAGAGGGGTCAAATACTTATTTCCCCCATTAAAATGCAAATCAATTTATAACATTGTTGACATGCGTTTCTCTGGATTTTGTTGTTGTTATTCTGTCTCTCACTGTTCAAATAAACCTACCATTAAAATTACAGACTGATCATTTCTTTGTCAGTGGGCAAACGTACAAAATCAGCAGGGGATCAAATACTTTTTTTCCCTCACTGTATAGTATGAGCCACACAAACAAAACATTGTCGTGGATACCTCGCTATGAGAACGTTCGCATTCCCTGCAAATGTTACCTGGGACAGGTTGTGCTCAGTAATCTTTCGCAGTACGAATTTAAATCACAATCAGAAATCCTTTCGATTTTTCTATCCGCAAGGATGCGAGGTCGGAGGCAGCGCAAACAGTGTCCACCACCAGTGTCGAAATTCCTCTCCCCACCTTCTCTTCCGAGCGTCTTAGGATAATCGGCGGGTGGTGGGGCTAGAGGGGGGGAGGCACTGGCATGCCAAAATGACATCACGGTGGGTGGGATTCAAACTCCATGAGCAATATTGTCCTTGGGTCGCTTGGCCTGGCAGGCTGTATGCAGAATTCCCAGCCAACGCAACACTCGCAGAAGCCACTTTAGGGGTAGATAAACGGTAAAGGCGCAGCCCTGCAATTTCTTGCTCACGCCACTGCTGGCGGTAGGGCCCCCCCCCCCCCCCCCACTAGAGGACAGCTCTGCAGAGAGTTCCCCTTCCAGAGGGTGTTTGGCCTACCCTCCCACGCCCGCTAGACGTCTTTGAAAGGGGTGATATGCAACCGATATCGCACTGGCGGCAAACATCAGGCGGGACGTGCGATGGAGCGGCTTTATTTCCTATGGCAGGCCCGCCGTCTCTTCAGATACGCACCTCCCACTGCCGCTCCCATCGCCGTCAGGCATCAAGTCCTTTGGGAATGGCGTTACTGATCTTGCATGGGGAAAAACCGGCCCACACTTCCCCACTGCCCACCCACCCACCCCCCATTGTCTGCATTACGCTTGCGTGCACGCCTTTGAACGCAAGCCGCAATGCGTGTTTACACACACACACACACACGAGTGAAGCGGACGTAAGTTTGCACGGGAGTCTGCCGCATAGTAGACGTGAAGGGGCGGGCTGCGGCGATCACATCGGCGAAATTAGGACCTTGCCATTCACCTGCTGCTCCATGGTAATCCGACATAAAGCACACCCGATGGTGACTCTCTCTAAGTGGCCGAGCCAAGAATGTAACTCCTTTCAGTCGTATACAGAATCGGGTAAATAGGCAAAGGTGCAGCCCTGCAATTTATTTATTTTTAGAGCCACTGCTAGCGGGAAGGTTCCTCCACTATGAGGAGTTATAGAGATCCCGTTTGGTGGTGTAATTTGGCCTACTCTTCCACACTGGCCAGAGGCGGGAGCACCCACACTTCACCTCACCACACATAACCTGCCGATCGACTGTGTCCTGTGACCATTCATACTGTTGGATGGATAGAGGTGGGGGGGGGATTTAATGCCGGGCAGAAAGATTAGTTTCTTTCGATGTATGCCGTAACTCGTGATTTGTATGTTCAAATCCTGTAAGGGGGGTCCGTCACAGCCTATCGTTCGTGCAGGGTTGATAAAAATAAGTACGACTGTGGATAGTGAACAGTGGTTGTTGTAATGGGAAGGGGACTGGCGCCCATCATGGGAATGTGGAATTTCCACATCTGGAGATGAGTGCCTCACTATTTCTATTCGAGTAAAGAGACACTTTGAAATGTATTTCCTTTAATGCGTATTGGAGTTCGCTTATGTGTACTTCAAAAAAACATCAACCATTAAACACAAAAAACAGACAGGACGTTTAAATTTAACAGCACTCTCTACCGTATTCAACGACGTTTAAATGTTGCAGCTTATTGGCTATTAGTTTGTTATTAAACTGTTTCAGATCAGCATTTCTCACTGGCAGAGAGATCTGAAGATAATGTAAGGGTAATTTCGCATCTCACTTTCATTGGAACGCTGGCCCTAAACATGTGGTCAATTTCAACGGGTTAACATTTTTTTAAAGCAAAGGAGGAAATCCAAATTATGGACATTAAATTATAATTGATCATGGCCAACACTGGCGATGGGCTGGAAATGTATGAAAGACTGAATGGCTGACTGACACCAGTTGATGAGAATGGTTAGATCAAAGCAGTGCACCTCCTGTCGCGCACATTTTTCAGAGACGCATCAATGTTTAAATTTACTCTTGAGAATGTAGACCTTATTGTGTTACAAAGAATCCTAGAAAGCATTTTTTTCTTTTATCTGATGGTGGACATGCTTTCTGGCTGCGGGTCTGGCCAGATGTGAGAAGCAATTGCAGCAAACAGCTCAAGTTTATAACTGTGTTATCAAGAGGAAGGCGGTTTGCCTGATTTATCCTTGAAAGCTCCACCATTCACACGCACACATTACAAATCAGTCTTAACTCGGTAACATCACCATGTCTAAATAGTGGCACACTTCAACATGGACATTTTAAAATGTACCTCTCAGCAATTAAGCTTTGAACTCGTGCTTTGAACAGTCCAAGATATACAGCCTAGGCGTGCCTCGACGATATTAGCAGACATTCTAGCAAGTAGCCGGTTACAATGCGACAAGAGGCATGGCAAGATGTTAACTACCTCGCCTGATGTACAGGAGGTCATGGGTTCAATCCCGATCTTGACGGCTGTATATTTGGAGTTTGGAGTTCTCCCCATGGTCACGTGGATATTTCTCCGGGTCCTCCGGTTTTTCCCTCCACATTTGGAAATGTGCATTGAGCGTATTTGGCTGCTATAAATGTCCACGTGACGAGCCACTTCGTTAAGCTATCATTTGCGGCCAGGTCGCTTCTGTAAAAGAGCGATTTAGCTCAGTGGGCCTTACTTGATAACATACAAAAAAAATTGTTTATAGATGCCTGGAACGTCCGCACGGTTCGTGGTAACTCACCTGCTGCTGGTGCTGCAGTCCTTGCGTCTGCAGCGCCTTCTCTAACAGCTGCACACGCACGCGCCACGTCTCGACTTCCGTCAGAAGGACCTGAAACACAGGGCAGACGCACCACACATGCATGCTGCGTTAGTCACTGAACAATTATTGCAATTCACGCGAACTCCCGAGACGCACGGAGTAACGCGCGCTCGCACCTCTCGGCGCATACATGGGGGTAACGCACGAGCGCCTCTCGGTACAGACACTATGGTAACGCACGAGCGCCTCTCGGTACAGACACTAGGGTAACGCACCAGCGCCTCTCGGTACAGACACTAGGGTAACGCACGAGCGCCTCTCGGTACAGACACTAGGGTAACGCACGAGCGCCTCTCGGTACAGACACTAGGGTAACGCACAAGCGCCTCTCGGTACAGACACTATGGTAACGCACAAGCGCCTCTCGGTACAGACACTAGGGTAACGCACGAGCGCCTCTCGGTACAGACACTAGGGTAACGCACGAGCGCCTCTCGGTACAGACACTAGGGTAACGCACGAGCGCCTCTCGGTACAGACACTAGGGTAACGCACAAGCGCCTCTCGGTACAGACACTAGGGTAATGCACCAGCGCCTCTCGGTACAGACACTAGGGTAACACACGAGCGCCTCTCAGTACAGACACTATGGTAACGCACAAGCGCCTCTCGGTACAGACACTAGGGTAACACACCAGCGCCTCTCGGTACAGACACTAGGGTAATGCACAAGCGCCTCTCGGTACAGACACTAGGGTAACGCACGAGCGCCTCTCGGTACAGACACTATGGTAACGCACGAGCGCCTCTCGGTACAGACACTAGGGTAACGCACAAGCGCCTCTCGGTACAGACACTAGGGTAACGCACAAGCGCCTCTCGGTACAGACACTAGGGTAATGCACGAGCGCCTCTCGGTACAGACACTAGGGTAACGCACAAGCGCCTCTCGGTACAGACACTAGGGTAACGCACAAGCGCCTCTCGGTACAGACACTAGGGTAACGCATAAGCGCCTCTCGGTACAGACACTAGGGTAATGCACAAGCGCCTCTCGGTACAGACACTATGGTAACGCACGAGCGCCTCTCGGTACAGACACTAGGGTAACGCACAAGCGCCTCTCGGTACAGACACTAGGGTAACGCATAAGCGCCTCTCGGTACAGACACTAGGGTAATGCACAAGCGCCTCTCGGTACAGACACTATGGTAACGCACGAGCGCCTCTCGGTACAGACACTAGGGTAACGCACGAGCGCCTCTCGGTACAGACACTAGGGTAACGCACGAGCGCCTCTCGGTACAGACACTAGGGTAACGCACGAGCGCCTCTCGGTACAGACATTAGGGTAATGCACAAGCGCCTCTCGGTACAGACACTATGGTAACGCACGAGCGCCTCTCGGTACAGACACTAGGGTAGCGCACGAGCGCCTCTCGGTACAGACACTAGGGTAATGCACCAGCGCCTCTCGGTACAGACACTAGGGTAATGCACAAGCGCCTCTCGGTACAAACACTAGGGTAATGCACAAGCGCCTCTCGGTACAGACACTAGGGTAACGCACAAGCGCCTCTCGGTACAGACACTAGGGTAACGCACGAGCGCCTCTCGGTACAGACACTAGGGTAATGCACGAGCGCCTCTCGGTACAGACACTAGGGTAATGCACAAGCGCCTCTCGGTACAGACACTAGGGTAACGCACAAGCGCCTCTCGGCACACGTTAGTGTGACATACCAGCACCTTCTCATTAGCTCAATATTGTTTGATTGAGCATTGTCTAATGAGCAGTGCTGTTCAATTAGGAGATAACGGTCAACACAAAACTACTAATTTGCCAGAAGCCTAAACAGTGCAAAGCCCTCATCATGTGTTTAGCACTTTGGAATGTTATTTATATATTTTGACATGGGGGGGGGGGTTTCAAACTGAACCAAGTGCTTCAAGATACTTTCATTTAAAAAAAAAATATCTTTAAAACTTGTTAAAATTCACTGCTTCATGACAACGGGCTTCTAAATAACGGAGAGAGAAAAGAACTTACATCAACTCGCGTTTCATATACTAGCATCAGAAGGTTCCACTAACCCCTCCAAATACCCCAAAATACATGAATTACCAAGCGAAGTTTACTAATTGGCCTTTTTGGAATATATATGTGCATTTGCACAAGAAACAAGAGTACGCATGAAAATGTTTTCTTTTTTGCCCGTGCAAAAAAATAAGGAGGCCTGTTAATGACTTTAACGTAATTACGCATCCTTCAGACAAAAACTTTGAAGAGTGGGAGATCAAACGGAATCATTAGTTGTTACGGCATGGAGCTTTAAAAGCAACTCTAAGCCATATCCCTTCCAGTGCCATAAATCAAACCCCTCTTGGGAAGCAACGCACCACTTGATCTAATGCTCAGCAATATTTGAGCATTAAAACTGGGTTTATTGTGCATCTTGAATTTTGTTAGTGGTGCATCAGGAAGGAAGGGGAGCCTCGGAACAAAAAAAAATAACACAGTGCGATTGATGTACGGGATTTTGGAGCCCACCGTTGCTATTTAAATATTAAGAGCCGACTGTGACGCTGCTCATTCACCAGGAGCACTGCCGTTCTCATTAAGCCCACACTGCTGGGTTGGTAAACACTTTGGAAAGTGTTTCCACAATGCTACGATTGCTGCTCCTAGCATCGTCGCTTCACCTCTGGAAGGAACAATCTAAACTAAACAATTTTTTCTTGATTTGGAGCTTTCGTGACTGCAGGAATACCCCAGGGTAAAGTCACGTAGGTAGAAATAAAATAAAATAAATCACGACGTTTGCTTTCCCACCCGATGATGGACGCTTGCGTTGCGCCCGAAACGTCGCGATTTATTTCATTTTATATCTCCGTGACTTCACCGAAAGAACCAAAGAGGATGTTTTTTAAAATTGAAGGGAAAAACCAGAGGACACGTAGACAAATCCACACTACCACGTGGAGAGAGACACGCAAACTCCAAATATACAGGAATCAGGGTCAGGATCGAACCCACGACCTCCTTGATACTAGGCGAGGTATTTAACATCTCGCCACTCTGGCGCCCAATTCGCACAATCGACTCCCATCATCACTACATTCAAATCACAACTGAAAACACTTCTCTTTGCACTTGCATACAACAACCAACTCACAGCCACAACCTGTTTTTATCGTGATATTTTATACAACTATAGATAGGATATATATTTTTTGTTCTCATTGTACAGAATCTCATTTTTTTCACGTTCACAAGTATTAATGTGACGGCGCTTCGAGTGGCAGATTCGTGCCAGAGGCGACCATGTGTTTACACACACACAAAAAATGGACTTGACTTGACACCAACAACGGCCGAGTGAGGCACTGCCTGGCTGGCAGCAGTTTGGTACTCGGGGTTTAGCAGCAAAAAAAATCTGGAGCCGCGTTGCCTGTGAGCTGGTTGCTGCGTGCGAGCGCAGAGATGCGTTTTGAGTTGTGACTGGAATGTAGTGATTGGAGTGGATTCTGTGGTATCGGGTGCCGCGGTGGCGAAATGTGAAATACTTCGCCTGGTATGCAGGAGGTCGTTGGTTCGATCCCGACCCAGACTCCTGTATATTTGGGAGTTTGAATGTCGCTCTCCCCGTGGCTGTATGGTTTTTTTTTTCTCCGGGTCCTCAAGAAAGATCACGTACATTGCGATTTTCAATACAAATCTCCAAGACGCATCTCTGCGCAGGTCTTCACGGTTGTACTGTGCAGCTCTCTGATGCGTTGCCGTGCTGTGCCATGTGTTGTACAGCCAGATGTTCGACATTTCGCTCCACATGTTGGGAGCCTCTGCAGCAATAGCCTTCACAAACAGTTCCTGGAGAGGCTCCCGGCACAACCGCGAAACACGTCTGAGAATTTAAGACTCATTGTTGACACAACGGCTTTTTGCAGATATCGTTCGTGTTAAATTGCATGTGGAATTTGTTTTGAGTCATTAACAATATGTGTCCGAGTCAGAGACAACCGCCGCACAAAATAAGAGAATCTTCACGAACACAATCGAGAGGTCCATCTCAGCCAATGTCGCTGATGCCACCCGTGCACTGCCATCACTTCCTTCCTTCTGTCAGATCCTCCACCACTTTTTGCACAGTTGCCAACTGCTCTTCAAGTACAATAACGGACTCTGTGACCATTTGTTGCCCATCACCTCCTTGCTACTGCCACTTGTACGTGCACAACATGTGTTTGTCAATTTCACTGTTGGATGAGGACAATGGATTTTGGCTGCACTGCCCTCTACACCCCGTGAACCTGTCTTGTGCGCATGGTGGTGGTCTCCAGATCCTAGAGGCGTTACCCAGGCTCATACTTGCTTAGCTTCCGATATGATATCAGCTGCATTCTGGTTAATCTGGTCACAGGAGCACCCACTCGGCTATGTTTGTGTGACAAGGGTTGGAGACAAAGGCGACATCTGTATCAAGTCATGGGGAAGCCGAGTTGAGACGTTTTATCAGAGAGACTGTTTAAATGAAGTGACATTGAAATTCGCCAGTAACGCTGCATGGTGCGAAACCAATGTCCACTGCTACCAGTGGACACTGGTTTTGTGCCAATGCTCCCGCACCTTGGAAGTATCGTTATACAGTGAGGGAAAAAAGTATTTGATCCCCTGCTGATTTTGTACGTTTGCCCACTGACAAAGAAATGATCAGTCTATAATTTTAATGGTATGTTTACTTGAACAGTGAGAGACAGAATAACAACAAAAAAATCCAGAAAAACGCATGTCAAAAATGTTATGAATTGATTTGCATTTTAATGAGGGAAATAAGTACTTGACCCCTCTGCAAAACATGACTTGGTACTTGGTGGCAAAACCCTTGTTGGCAATCACAGAGGTCAGACGTTTCTTGTAGTTGGCCACCAGGTTTGCACACATCTCAGGAGGGATTTTGTCCCACTCCTCTTTGCAGATCTTCTCCAAGTCATTAGGGTTTCGAGGCTGACGTTTGGCAATTCGAACCTTCAGCTCCCTCCACAGATTTTCTATGGGATTAAGGTCTGGA